CACTGGTCCCCCGCTCCCCGTCCGCGTTCTTACCTCGCTCCGCCCACGACATTGGCAGCGCCCCGGTAGTCCAAGCGTTCGAAAATCTGAAGCTATTGGTACGCACAGGAGTTAGTGTCGAAGTCGTCTAGAGTAATAAGGTCAAAGACAATGCCATCAGCGAGAGTCCGTGGCACGGGTAGCATGACGAAATCAACCCTCCAAACAGTTGACCACCTCGCCACAAGAGGGCAGTACGTAGTCAAAGTCGAGCTGAGGGCTTTTACGCTTTACTCCTGAAATATGATTTGACGGGATTTAGATAAATAAATTTAAGAACTTTGTGTTTTTTTACGTATTTTTTGTGCCTCTCCTCTTTTCTGCATGCAATTCCATTAAATCGAAAACGATGGGATTACTCCTGATAGTTTCCTCTCGCTTCGCTAGTTGCGCTAAGACGCTCGTCACATGCCACTGTGTCACGAAGCGTGCGACTACCCCCAGTAGTTCCATGATGGCATCATTGTTTTCTTTTTTATCGTCATTCTTGTTCGAGTCATTCTAAGAGTAGTTTGAGTAAGGTACGATATCGACAGAAAAATCCTATTTCTTTCATTTTCTAATTGACTTCTAGAAGTACATCAGGTTTCGCATTTCCTGTGTTCTCAATACAGAGTGTTTTTTAATATTTTTATATTGTTGCAATACAAAGCTTCGATTTAAAAATCGAACTATAAATCGAAATATAGAAGATCGAACTTTCAATCCTTGATTGAAAGATTGACTTGTCATCTGTGAAATCAAGCATTTCAACTCTTCGTTTTTTCAATTTCCCTTCACAAACTCTGTCAGAATTTGACAACAATCTAAATGAGCATTTTTATTCTCCCTATTACCGCACACGCAACATCTCTTTGAAAGTTGATCTTTGAATATGTCGTGAACTATTCTCACTGACCCATATAAATGATTCATCATTCTCCATCCCCACTTACAAATGATTAGTAAGTCGTCTCAGAGAACGTGCATTACATTTATATTCCAAATCCTCTTAACATCATTAAAGAGAGATCAAAGATGTGCTCAAGTACAACCGACCTATCCAATAGGAAATTTTCACAAAAGGTCCATCTCAGGTGAATCATCATGAAATGTAAGAGGAATCCTTTTTGCAAATCGTTGAAGTATGAAAAGAAAATATAAAGATGCAAAACATTTTAATGAATATATATTTAAAACAATTAATGCTCTTACATTTCCAGGGAAACAAATAGGTTCATTGTGTTGGAAGAAGAACATGGTCAATATTACCATACGAAGTTGAAGGTTATTAATAAATGCGTTAACTCATAGAAAACATAATTCTCACGCAGTGGATTTGTTATTACGTATGAATCACCGCAAAAGTAAAATTCGTCATTCACTATCATATCGGGCTGAAGAATTCTTCAGAAAGAACGCGAAAAGATAAAATTAAGTGAAGTTGTCCAGTAAATTATGAATTTTGATAGACAAGACGTCATTAAAAAATAAATATCTTTTTCTATTTGATCTCATCAGCAAAGTCGACTAAACTGTGACACTTTTTTGTAAGTCATGTAATTCCCATTGAGAATGAATTAAAAAAGAAAGCGCATTAGCTGACCTCAGTAACAACATGTTACAAATAGAACGAAGAAAGTGATAAGTGCATTTTAAGTGAGGAACCCGTTCGAAGTGTGTCTCTTGTAATTACAAGAAGGCCGAATTGGTGTCGTGCTAAATTCTAGATCAAGTTATATCTGATATTCACTGCTGCTTTCACTGAACCATTCATACTTGTTGCGTTTGTACTACCACTCATTTCTTTAATACACTATTTATTAGACGCTTTTTAGCGTTTTTGCGAATAGCATTTTTGTTACAGTATTCGTATGAGAGAAAAATGTTTTAAAAAATAGTTATAGCTGTTATTTGAGGTATAAAAATAGTTAAAGCCAGTTATAAAAAACATTTATTTTAGATAAAGTGTGAAATGGTGAAATAATCCGTCAGCTCTTAGTGCACAATCCTCCATATACTTTGTGATATCCAAGTAAACAAAACCAAAGTTCATCACATTCAAGTTGGGATTTCAACCAGCAGTTTTATATTGTAATGACTTCAGCAATCCATTATATATTTACCTCAATTAATCAAGAAAATTTCAGTTTTATACTTATTCCAAAAATTTAAATTATAAGATGGAAAGAATTCTAGATTCCTAGATCGATAGAGGCATAATGAATAGATATTGAACATAGATTTCATCACATGTGGAGCTGAGAGAAGCTTGTATAGTTATTTACACACACGATTTCCTACGAAACTTCACCGTTATCGCCAAATATCCATTCCATCGCCCACGAATATCGAATTAAGTGGTTAGGCAGTTGAGACGACTCGATGATAATGTTCTTGCCACATAAAACGTAGGCACTTTCATTTCAATACACCGAAATGGAGCGTCGCCTCGCCTCGCCTCGCCCCGCCAGAGGCGCTCGCATCCCGACCGAGAAATACGCGCCCGCGGGGCGGCGCGGAGGCAGGGCAGGTTTTTACGCCGCCCACCGCCGCCGCATTCACCTTGGCGCTGCAGTCGCGCTCTGGCAAATATGCGCCTCTTGGAGGTCCGTGCGGTTAATTAACGCGCGCAGAATGCCGCTGCGTCCGCAACCGGGCCCGCTGCCCGCCGGTGGGTATAGAGCTGGGCGAGTGGTCATTTACGTATGTGTACTACGTATGGATGTGTGTGTGTGTGTTAAAGCACACGTGGCACGGACGTCGCGGCTCCTTTTTCCGTCCTATTTTCTTCGACTTCTTGTGCTTGGGGTAACTAGTTCCTCGAGTAAGGTTGATCAAACCTTTCATTCGATGCCCATTGATCTGCCAGTCATATCACGGTTTGAAGACAGCAGCAGTGACTCAATGATATACTAGTATGAATTCATAGTACTATTTGTTATAAAACATGTTCATGTCGTTTGTGAGTGTAAGAAGACAGGTTGCAAATAAAAGACTTGTAATTAAAACAAATAAATAAATTGAAAATGGGAAAGTAATTTCACCCTCACAACGTCGTAATATTGTGGCGCAGACTAGTACAACACAGATCCTTCCATATTAGAGGGGAAAATTAAATTATTAAGGACCACATATTTATGTTTTATAAAATTTGTCACTTTTTTTTACATCACACGTTCTATTGAAAGGCAAAATTGGCAATCTGGCTATTCAAGAACATTAAGAAACTCTCGATTAAAGTATGTCAACAGCTTAAATTACTAGAAGGTACTACTGTAGTAAAAGTCGATATAGTACCTTGAGGCATAATGTATTTTCTCTTTTGCATTTCATGGGAATTATTTATTGTACAGCCGAGTATGGTGGTTGATTTGGTTTTATATTCGCTTCCAATAGTGGAAGAGAATTTCGTTTCCCCCTCAGTGCCGTCTAGCTGAGGGTCAACATAGTTTTCTTACATAGCCTACAGGAAAGCCACTTTCACGTTCTCCGCGTTTTATAGCGTCGAGTAACCAGTAGTCAACTCTCAGTTTATGGATATTGCTCGGAATTTCCTACTTCTGTACTCTGAAACCTCATTGATACATTTTATTGTTCAAAAACTATGTACAAGTTTTCATCATTAAAATGTTTTGAAGTGTTACACAGAATGGTAGACATCAGGAGAATGTTTCATTTACTTCGTAGGTTCTGCAAATGACTGCATTTAGTTGAACAAAAAACGTTTTTTTAATTACAGTTTAAATGTCAATACCTTTTATATTCCAAGCAATTTTTCTTTATTTTTGAACTTCCATATTGCTGTACAGTTTCTTGTTACTTAGTAATTCGTACTTTCTTATGAGTATTCTTCTTTTACTTCATTTCTCTGCATGTATGCTTTCTTTTTCTCCTTTTTGGTACTCATTCACCGCGTTCACACTTAATCACTGTATCATTGTTGTTTTGCCGCGCTCGCCCATTGCGACGCGACTACATGGGATCGGCCGTCGCTTGACTTGCAGTGCAACAGCCGAACCTCAGCCACCCGTTCCATCTGCACGGCTACGCCTTCAAGGTGATCGGCATGGGCCGCTCCCCCGACCAGAACGTCAAGAAGATCAACCTGAAGCACGCGCTCGACCTGGACAGACGCGGCCTGCTGCACAGAGAGTTCAACCTGCCGCCTTCCAAGGACACCATCGCCGTGCCCAACAACGGTTACGTCGTCTTCCGCTTCCGAGCCGATAATCCCGGTAAGTCCCGACTAACGATGAACGTTGCGTGTTGCTTCTTTACGAATTCCTGATTTCTTATCGGCTGCAAAGTGTACGTTATACTGCAGAATTACAAGTGTCTGCGCTTGTCTGCTGTCCTTGATAAAGTAATTGGTCTTGATGGTATCAATTCCTGATTATGCCCCTGAACTTTGCGTCCATAAGCAGGACTGGTTGTTGTTGTTGATTTTTATTTCCATTTTAGATTTTACGAATGATTCTTTGGAGGGAGGTCAAATATCTAGAGATGGGAAAGTATTCGTACAAAAATGATTCCTTCTGAATGAAAATAATTTGATGCATTCTCCAAGAAACCAATCACTAGTGGGTAATGTTTTTGCAATTACGAAAATAGATACATTTGCATAAACTTTTCTTTACCACGCAGCCTTGAGCATAGCATCACGAAGAAACACTATAAATCTCTCCTCTGGAGATTTCTTGCACCATTATACTTGTTCCTGACATGGAAGTGCATCCCACTTTCTCTCTTGATTGAATTATAATACGCATATTTCAGTGTCCTTGCGGTCTCATTGTAATCTCAACAACCCATCGTCTTGATACAATCGACATAATGGCTGCAATCGAAATCCTTCGATTCGCAAATCGCTACATTCATACGCCATTGAGTCCGCACAAAAAAAAACAAAATAGTAGAAAGCCGGTCTTGCACAAACCTAAGGGCAATCCAAACCTCATGATGGACACGATACGAAGTTCGCAAGACAAACGACCCGCGAACGATTCCTCCCGGCTGGGCGAAATGAGGGACAAGTGGGCGATAGTATCACGCGGCGGGAAAGCAAGTTCACCTCTCACTGTGCGGCCGGGCGGGGCAGAGGTCGGACGAGGCGTCGCTGTCGCGGAGCGCCGTGGCGGTCGGTGCGTCTGGGGAAAGTGCTCTACGCCGGCTCCGTCCTGCCCTGCGCCGCCCACGGCGCCGCTCGATTACGAGAGC